ATTGTACTATAGAATGGCCTGGAAAATACATAATGCTGCCCCATTAAAATTTTATTTTTCCATCTACAGCGGGAACATTTTCCAAGAGACCTGTGGCGGGGGGGGTTTTGCTACCAAACACCCACCGCCACAATTAAAATGGTGATCTTTGCATCTCTGTCATCTGCAGATCATTGAAATGCAAATTCAGCGCGCTGCTGGAGAGATGAAGGCCTATGTGTCATCTGATCCACAGGAGAAGAAGAAGACCATCAGGTGAGCCTGTCGGGCTTGGCCTGCCAGCTGCTCGCCGGAACCACATCCGTTTTTCTTTACCTAAGACTCTTGTTACATAAGCATTAATCTGCTGACACTTTCTACTGACTGTACAGAAGAAAGTCAGATTACCACACCTTTCAGAATAAAGATAAGCTGAATTGACACACCTTTTCTAAACAAAAATCACCGGGTGAAAAGTGACTTTTCTCACCCCATCCGTTTATGTTTTTTTTGTTTGGTTTTGTTCTGCTGCTTCGTTGCAGGGAAGTGTACATGAAGAACATTGCAGAGCAGGAATTACTTGGCAAGGTGAGAGGAGACGATCTAAGCGCTGACTAAGATGAAGCAAAAAATGTGTTCTTGGAAATGTTCCCTTATTCTGCCAAAAAACAGTCTGAAGGCTGACAGATTGGAAACGAAGGTTTATGGAAAGCTCACACAGCTGGAGTCTTACAGATTCAAGCTATAGATATTTTCATGTGTAGAATTTTACCTTTTATTTAGGGCTGGGCGATATATCAATTAACTGAATTTTTGAAGATTTAACTTTTGGAAAATCTGGATTTTTTATTATTATTTATATTTTTTTCATTAATGCACTACTTGGGTTTCCATAGTTTCCATAGACATCAGCCTGTCCAGGGCGGCCATCTTGTTTAACAAGTGTGTTTTACAGCTTCACTGAATTCAGGTGGCAGGTCATCACTACGGTGGAATATTAGCGATGATATGATTCTTTTTTTTTTTAATTATGAGAATAAAGTTATAATATAACAAGAATAAAGCAGTAATTTTATGATGACTGCAACACAACAAATAAAAAATTTGTTGAGCATCTTGTAAAATTAGACTTTGAGATCCATCTTACAGATAATCAAATGCTTCATCTTCTAATACATCTGCATCAGACTGCAGAACTCTGAAGCCATTTATTTACGACTTTATTTTGAAGAAAAACACACGGGATAGTTTGGTCATGTCATATCCTCATAACTCCACAAGATTTTTTTTTCTCATCAAAGTAATTTTCTCTTATAATTTTAGGACATTTTTCTGATAAAACTGTCTTTATTCTGCTAATATAATGAGCAAATTCTCGTAATTAAGCTAAACTTATTGTAGCTTGTCACTAATACTCCATTGTACAACTCACAGAAGGAGGGATTGGAACAAAAAACACTTTTTAAACATATTTTCTGTCAGTTGTAAAAAAGTTTTTAGAAAAGAAAGTTTTTAAAAAATCTAATAAAATCGGATCTGGTATGAAATAAAAATCTGAGATTTTTTTTTATTTTTTTTTAAGCCCAGCCCTACTTTAGCTGGTGTTCTTTAAATCAACGTTCAGGGACCAAACCTACAATTAAGAAAATCTATTTGTGGATTTTTTTAAACAAACACTTACACCTCTGAAGAAAAAGAAGACAAATTACATATTGTAGCCATATTATCATTAAAACCTAAATAAAAAACAAAATTGTATTATAGAACACTTTATTAAGGTTTAATTAGGTGTGTTAAGATATCTTGGCTATGAAATACTTTTGAAACAAAATATCTACTCACCGGTTTTAAAACCTTAAATTTGCACAACTTTATGCCTTTTATTTATTTATTTTTGTATTTTTATCTTTGTATTTCAGAAGCTGCGTGAAGAGCAGAAGGTCGTGAGGGAGAACCACAGCGCCAACATGGAGCAGATGCAGATGTGGCGGGACCTGGAGCAGCTGATGGAGTGCAAGAGGCAGTGCTTCATAAAGGCTCAGAACCAGGTTTCTATTGGTCAGGTCATTCAGGAGGGAGGCGAGGACAGGCTGGTCCTCTGAAGACGTGATGCTCCCACGCTGTCTATTTGCTACGCTAGATGAAGCTTTGCATCCTTCATCCTCCTGTAACACGGCCAAAACATTGTGAAGATTGGATTGTTTCCAGAATCGGCCAAGTTAATTCTCCCTCTCTTAAATGTTTTGGACCAGAGATGTTGAGCTTCACTTGATAGTTTATATTTTGAGACCTCTGACCTCTGGCAATGTCCACATCTTAAAGGACACACGTCTCTGGTCAAGGGGTTTCTCTTTTGTCAATCCCTTTTTACACACCTTTAAGGATACTCTTTCAGTCAAACGTGTCCAAACATATCGGCGAACAAAGTGGTGCACTTGGGGTGTGACAGCGGTCAGCTATTTTTGGCAGCACAAAGCATGACCATGTGCAGGGGTTGTGAGGTCCAGATTTGGATTTCACTGGGACCATCAAGACCACTGGGGGGGGGGATAAGAGATTCCTGTGCTTGTTAAATTCTTTGTCCATTTCTAATTGTTGGTAACATTGAGCAACATTCAAGTTATCGATCCTTAGTTCCTAACTGTGTTTTATATGTGTTTGACTGCATTAAAGTTTGCAGTTCTGAAAAGGTCTGCCCACTATTCACAGCTTTTACTCTCGAGAGGAGATCGAGTATCTGATGTTTTGTTGTCCAACTTCTATTATGACTAATGGAGAAATCCTATAACCTTTGGAGTGTTTGAGTGCCTCACTGTGTTCACAGTACTCCAACTATCTGCAAGGAGGCTTCAGGGTTGCACTCTGCCTGCCACAGAAACTTAATCTGCTGCTGACAGCGTTAGAGGCTCTCCAATCCAACAGATGAGGTGTGCGTTCGTGTCTGACCGGGCATCGCCACACTGTTGTTGCTCCGCCACATCGAAACTTCTTGCCGCCTTATTAAGACATGTTAACAGCTGATGTACGCCAGACCTGTAAAACATCCAGCAGCTGAATTAAGAACCGAGACGAAGCTGAGATATTGACCTAATGCTCTGCTAGATGTTCAACAAATTGACAGCTTTAACAGTTTTTGTTGATAACTTGGATTTATAGATCCTGCCAAATAATACTCTCTGTTAAGATCACATTACGTAATCCTGAGCTAATGATCTCTCTGTGGTCTGAGCTGCTGTTTGTCTGTTCAGTGACTGTCTCTGACATGACTTCAATGTTCTACCTAATGTTTATGCTCTGCACAGCGACCATGAGCTCATTCCAGTTTTAAAGTGGCAGTATTGAGCCGTTCAACACAATCGAGTAACTATGTTGACTTCAGTTGTTATGAAAATGCTTTATATATAAAATATGACTTAAAGAAATTTGACTTCATAATTTAACACCTTGAAATTGGGCCTCTGTCTCTTTAAAAACTCCTGCTCTTTCATCGTGTTGTGATGACTTCAGAAAGTCATCACAACGTGGCTCCTCTGTTAATCCTTTAATAACGTTTTTACCACCGTTTCACTCATAAGTTGCTCCTATAATGAGCCCAGCAGACGCACAGTTCCACCAAGTATTTGCTAATTGCTGCTGGCTAGTCTGAAGGAACCGAATTGGAAAGCTATATTGCTCTGTGAGGCAGAAGCTTGGAAACTGCAGCTCTGAGGAGGAGCTGCGCCTTGAAGGCGGGGCTAAGTCCACACAGGCGTTTTGAACAGCTGAATGGTTGCCACGGAGATTCAAGAATTTCTCAATCAGGCATGAAAGAATCAAGGCAACACTCCAGGTATGTTTTCATTAGGGAATAGCATAATAACATGCTGTAAAGCTAAAAACAAAAGTCGATTTTCAATATCTTCTTTATTAACCAAAAATAAATACTCTCCTTTTAACTCATCACAAGCTCCATGTGAGGTAAAGTGTGGAAGTAAAAGACATGTGCTCTATATTTGTGTTTCTCTAAAATGATTTAAATCAATCAGATTTTTACATAAGCTCTGCAAAACCGATAAAACTATTTAAAGGAATACTAAATATTACTTATGTAGTCATTTAAAAGTCTCAGAGAGCATCATTAACCGAGGAAAACAAAAATTATTATAGGCAATTAAACATTTAAATTTAGAAACCACAATCTGTTTTTTATTTTAGATTTTAAAGTTAAAAGAAAATGTCAAACTTTTAAAGTAAGACACTGGAAATAAGTTGTTTACAGCCAAAAGACCAAAAACAAAAAACAAACAAACAAAAAAAAAAACTCCAAAGCGGCACGAAATGAAAAAAAAAAGATGCTTGTACCATCAACACTTCTATTTAACTTTTTTGTAATTTTTTTTTTTTTTTTTTGCAAATAGTTAATGAAAATCTTTCTATATTATATGTCAGAACTCTTCTCAGTTTTGTAATACTGCTATTAATGTTAGAAGTATAACTACTTATACTCCCATTATTGACCAAAAATAACGGGAGTGGTTTAGATGCAGGTTTAGACCACTGACCTAGTCAAAGTAGAGACCTAAATCCAACCGAGAAGTCATGGTAAAATTCTCAATTTGACCTATGACATGTACAGAAAAATGTCAGCAATGTATCATTTTGCTGTCGATTCACACTTTTGTGATACCGTATTGGCCTATTAGATAAAATCAAAAGTGACAAAAATGCGGAAAAGAACAGGGTTTTCTGCAAACTGTTCTCTACCAGATCATGATAAAGATCATAAAAAAACACTTGCACAAGATTTGTTTGGCTTAAGTATTTGCATATTTTGTTCCAGGGAAAGACACATGTGAACATTTTTACAGTTGTTCAACTGGGTCTTGTTTATTATGATTTGTTTATTTGCTTTTTATTACTTCCATGCAAAACTCGAGGGGTTAAAAAAAACCCTCGAGCCTGAGCGTGTAATCCTAACAATTTGAGTCGGCAGCGGTAAATAAACACGATATTCCAGCCTCGCGCTTCCCAGCGACTTCCTGGGTTCTTTCATCTGGCACTGGTTTGAACGCAGCTGCCAGCGTTCCTCCAATGATAGGAGTCCACATGCAGCACGGGGAAGAGAGGCAGCAGAGAGGCGCCTTGCTTTCATAAAAGCAGACTGAGAAGACAGAGTGGAAGCACAGAGAGTTGCGCCACGGTGAGGCAGGAAACGGCACCGGGAGGACTGGACCGAATGCAGTCCCGAACACAGAGCACTGCCGCAGATACGTCCCCACCAACAGCGGAGACCAGCGGAGCCTCACACTAACCTTCACCCGGACAAGAAGGAGAAGTTCGGGTCACCTTTGCTAGAAAAAAAAAAAGAAAAAGGAAAACAGAAAGAAAGAAAGCGTCATTCGCGTGCAGATAATCTTAACAGGGAGCCGGGGGAACACGTTACACTGCCGACGGTAGCTAACCGAGAGTGAATGTACGCTCTCAGTTGGCACACTCATTATTTCTCCGAAAAGTACTGACAGCTTCCAAGAGCCACCGAGTCTCCTCAGACTAATTCAGGTGAAGCTCAGTGGGAAGGAGCCGTCCGCCATGGAGAACGCTCACACGAAGACTGTAGAAGAAGTTTACAGTTATTTCTGCGTCAATGAGAGCACAGGACTTTCTCTGGACGAGGTGAAGCGGCAGAAGGAGAAATGGGGCCTAAACGGTAGGAACAGCTTTAGTTCCCATAGCCTGCCGCTGAGGCTGGTTGCTGCCGTGAATGAGACGCGTTTCATGCATGCTACTGTAACGTGAACGCGGCGTGCTCCGTGTTCTGTACAGGGGTAAAAGTCAGCTACATCATCGGTGATACCCGGTGGTCTGTGAAGGGATTTTGGCTGACGTCACCAGTGCTGACCTCCAGGGTTTCCCATCATTTCCATAGTAACAAATTAGTCATTACAGAGAGTGTGGCTTATGTAAGGTGTCGTCAATTTTTTTTGTGTGTGGTGTGTAAACAGGTTGCGCCTGTTAACCAGAGCCAAATTATGGTGTGGATGGCATGGTTAAAGTCAGTTTAATTTATTTACACAGCGCCAATTCACAACAAATGTCATCATGGGGCATTTTACAAAAAACATAATTTAAATTTAATCACACATACGTCATCTAACAGTATAGTAAGCTCAGTTAATTATTCAAAGTAGTTTAAGAAAGTTTCTATCTAAGGACAACACATCATCTCTTGTGGCTGGAGATCTGGCAGGCATACAGCCCCGGGTCACTGAAGTGACCCTCATGTGTCAGAGTTAATCTCTGTTGTTCCAGACTTTAACAGCTGCTTTATAATAATATCACCTGGGGGTCACATAGAGCATTCTCCCCTTCTCCTAAATCCCTCCTGACCTTTACGCAAATGGAAAATCTGAATGCCTTTTACCGTAATGTTTTACACTAAGTGATTTAAAATCAGATATTACTAGAAAGTTAGCAATGACTGCAGTAAAACTGGTTGTACAGCTATCGTTTGACCCAAAAAATGAATGAAACAACTTCTCTCTCTCCTTTTTTTTTCCCCCCTGCTTGGATCAACCCGCACATCTCTGCACACAGAGTTACCGGCAGAAGAAGGTACTTGCTCTTGTCTCTGACGTTTGTTCCTGATAAGTTCCTACGATGTTGTTCTTTTTTTTTTTTTAGTAACTGTACTCTCCTGTCTGCAGGGAAATCTTTATGGGAGCTCGTCCTGGAACAGTTTGAAGATCTGCTCGTTCGAATTCTCCTGTTAGCTGCATGCATATCTTTTGTAAGTCTACACCGTGGTTTCATCACACATTTTAAATCAGATGTAATACTTCCTTCATACTAACTTCACTTACTTCAACCAAATGTTTACATTAAGCTCCAGCTGCTGGTGGGGGTTTGAATAAATCCAGTGTGATGAATGCAAGTGCGGCGCATGGCGCTGAAGTGTGAACGTCTTCGGTTTGCATAGCTGTGCCGGCGGGTTACGCTTATTTAGGAAGGAGCTAAATAGCTGAGATGGCTCGCAGCTCATCTGAGGAATGGTGACAGCAGCGGTAGCAGCACTGAGTCACTGTCACCTCGCTCCTCTGATCCGTAAGAATGATGAGACGCCAAGCAGAACCGCTTCGGAATGACTCAAGCTGATCTCGTCTGGGCTGCTGCTGACTTTCAGTGTTTAATAGCAAGTGGACAGTAGTTATGTAATGACAAAGTGTAAAAACTGGTTCAATCCTCATTTTTTTGGTTTTGTACTTTCGAAGGAACTTGGATTGCATAAAGGAATGTTTTCCCAAGCAGAAATGAACTGTTGAAGGGGCAAAATTATGTTTTTTCCAGGAATATTTTACCACTTTATAGCATAATCAAGTAACTATGTTAACTTCAGTTGTTATAAAAATGCTATATAGAAATATGACTTGAAAGACATTTTACTTCGAGATTTACAAAGTAAATTGAAATTGGGCCTCTGCCTCTTTAAGAAGCTCTTTCTGAAACTCCGCCTTCAGGAAGTCATTTCAACATGGCTCCTCTATTAACCCTTTCACAACGTTTTTTACCAGCGTTTCCCTGAGAAGTAGCTCATATAATGAACTCAGCTGATGTGCAGTCCCACCAGGTGGTTGCTAATTACTGGTGGTTAGTCTGAAGGAGTTGAGTGGGGGAGTTAGAGGGGAGGTCTGCTCTGAAACAGCAGCTCAGAGGGAGAGATTCATCCTTGAAGGTTGAGCTAGGTTCATCCAGACGTTTTGCACAGCTGAATGTTTGCCACGGGAGATTTAAAAGATTTCTCAGACATGCATGAAAGAATCAGAGCAACAATCCAGCTATGTTTTTTATGAAGGAATAACATAACAAAGCTCAAAAATGTTAATTTTACATAATACTGCAGCGATTATTTGTGATTATTTGTCCAGATGAACAATTAGCAAAGCTGCGTAGCGATAGACGAGCCTCTGCATCTGCCTGTGTGCTGATATGCAGCTCGCCGCGTCTGTCAGGGGATACAGAGGTGTCGGTGGCTGCTGTCTGACAGGGGAACAGAACACCACTCCAGACCAAATTTGGACTCTCACTACTCAGGGAGGGCTCTCCATTCAGCTAATGCACACATCCATGTGCACTTCACCTCAGACCAGTTTAGACACTTTGACCGTCATCAGCCCACTCCTACAGCAGCGTTCCTGAATCGTCCTTTAAAAGTTTTCAGTCGTTTTACGATGACTTTGTTTTGCTGTGAAAATAAAGGATAGCTGGAAGCGATTAGATATTTTCTGAATATTTTGTAAATTTGCGGATTAATCGGATAGTTACTTTGTGGATTTGTTGATCGGGAGATGGTTGCTGATTGTTGTGAAAGGCTGACTACAACAATCTCCTCGACGGTTTCTGTTTTATGACAATTATTATATTTATAGAGTAGTTATAGTTACATATCCACTCAGCTACAGCAGATGTATTTGTTTTAGGCATTTAGAAATAAAAATTGCACAGTTTAATACATAAAGAGTATATTACATGACCTAATAACTTTAATTGGATAGAAACAAGAACCAGTTATTCCTGATAGTGCTAAAAGATTGACTCAATCAAACTTTATTTGTGTAGCCTTTTTCAGAAATGCAACGCAAACTGCTGAACAGAGATTAAGAACAATTGGAAATAAAAAAATCTCAGTTTGATCAAAATAAGTGCAAAAAACGTGAAATACTTATAAAATGATAGAGTACAGAGAAGTGAGAAAATGCAGAGGAAACATTAGAACCAATTAAAATCGTATCAGAAATCCAGTTTTCCAGGATAATACATAAACTGTAAACACAGAAATGTATGAAATGTAAATCAATAGCAAAATATATATGTAAATCAAATACATAAGAATATAAAATTTGATAGACTTACTAAATAAATAAAACAGACAATGTAATATGGCAACAGCTAAGTAAATGTCAACTCAAAGCCAGATTTAATAAATAAGTTTAAGGTTTGCTTTAAAGATTAGTTAAACCTCTGGTTAAATACTAACATAACACTGTGCCTGGATGATGAACTAAGACCACTTTGTGTGATACTTTTAAAATCACAAAAAGCACATTTAAAAGTACAAAAACTCACCTAATGCATCATCTTAAGTTTCATGACATAACGAAATTACAAAGGGCTGATTGGATGCTACATTTGGTACGATATGCCCACACAGGATACTTACATGCTCATGTAGAGTGTTGGGCAGATTACACAATGGTACAGAAAGGAAAGTGTAACAGCCTTCACTCAGCCAGCTGACGAACAGTGCACAGCACCACCTGGGAGAGAGGCCTTGAACATCCAAACCATCTGAGAGAAAAAAACACGACTCATTCCAGCGGTTCTTTTAGCATCTCTGTCAACACTTATTGTGGCAAACTGTTCCAGTTTCAAAAGCAAAATGTTTCACTGCCGGCTGTTCTCTGTTGGGCGTCGCGAAGACACAGACATCTTTTGTAAACTTTTAGGCTCTAAATTTTCACTTCCTGAGCAGTAAGATACATAGCTCTTTGTAAAATTGATTGTTTCATTACATTATGGAAAATGAGCTAATAACTTGTGACGCACAGGATACTTTTAGAGCTGTTTCTTTTACAGGAACACCTAATTAAGTCATTACGACCCGATGACACACAACACTCTGGTGCAGGTTTTAATGGGCTTAATGAGCTTGCAGGTCAACACACATGGGCTTTTTTTTTTCTTCTTCTTTTCAGGCAGATTCATGCCTGTACCGTGTATGAAAGCCCGTAGTATTAGGGTCAGAATTAGTGTATTTCTTAGATGTACTTTGGTGAAAGTCTCCAAAAACCTTTTCAGCTAATTTCAGGTAATTGTATTTTCAGGTCCTGGCGTGGTTCGAGGAGGGAGAAGAAACAATCACAGCGTTTGTGGAGCCTTTTGTAATTTTACTTATTCTCATCGCTAACGCCATCGTTGGAGTGTGGCAGGTGAGACGACGCGTCAGACACTGGAAAGCTCTTTAAACAGCTGCGTTTCCATTCACCACATGATTGCATTATTTCTAAAATAAGTTTGCTTAATGGAAACATGCCAGTTTGAAATAAAGCATGTTTGTCGATAAAAAAAATTAAGAGTGGGATGAGGTGGTTTTTTTTTTTCAACTGGTTAACTTTGCAAAACTGCAAAAACAAACACTTTTTGTTCACATCACACAAGTCAAATAATCAACAACCGGATGCTGCCACTGACGCAAAACACAAATAAAAAGACGACAGGAAGTAGTTGGAGGATGATATTAGCGGCATGATTTTTAATGACTTATATGAGAGAGTTTACTGTCTACCTTCAAACATTGAAAAGTCAGGTGTATCTGTGTGAAATGGAGTTATCATAATCGGCCAAATTCTAATCTGGTGAAAGTAATTAAAGGTTTATTTGATCAAGGATGCAAATATAATTCTGTTGTAGAACATCTTAACGCAAGAAACGATAGTCTGCATCCTTTAGTTAGATTTTACCAGCACTGTAGATGAACACTGTGTACTGGAAGTTATTTTCGTCTCAAAGAAAGGCTTCGCATTGAAGAATAATAAAAAAAAACTGTGTGGGCTGGCCATTCTGAGTGATGTTTGCCTGGCTATATAATGATGAATATTCTGGTGAAGGGAAACTGGGAAAAGACTAAAAGAAAAGGTTTATAGAAAACTGAAATGTGACCAACTAAAATGCATAATGAACACAAACATGCTGTAGCTCACAAATGTATTCATATTCCCAAAAACTTCTCCAGATTTTTTTCACGTTATAATCGGATTTTATGTGGGAGACCGACACAGAGTAGTGAATATTTTTTAAGTGAGATTATTAATATGGATGGTTATTCAAATTTGATCTCAAATAAAAATGAGAAAAACAAAATGGAGTAAAAACCTTTTGTCAGTTTTGCACATTTACATTTACTCAGAGTGGAGGGGAAGCTTCTGTGAACATCAGTTTTCAAGGTTTGCTAACAGACAAATCTGCTTTGATCTAAACCATTCCAGCTCTGGCTCTATGTTTAGTTGAACCTCCTACTCAGCATCTGGTTTTTTGCAAGTCTTCTTTAAGAAATGTCGCTGTATTTAGCTCCATCCATCAACTCTGACCAGATTTCTTGGTCTTCATGATGCTGTTTGTTCACCAATATTCTCTAACAAACCTCTGGGGCCTTCACAAAACATCTGGATTAATACTAAAAGTAAGTTACATACAGTGTGGACTCTGTTTACTCATCAAGCAAAAGCTAGATAAGATTGCACTGACACAGTTTTCAGATGTCTAAGTGGTAAAGATGTTAAAAAAAACTTCACAATTATGAACTACCATGTTGGTCTATCCAAGTGAAATAAACTTGGTTTAAAAGTTTGTGAAGAAGTCCTGCAGATATGAATACTTTTGCTTGGCACCTCAGCTGTTGATGTGGCTTGCATCAGTAGCGAATACAGATGTCGCACCAAACTCTTGTCTTCCTCACCAGGAACGCAATGCTGAGGACGCCATCGAGGCTCTGAAAGAGTACGAGCCGGAGATGGGGAAGGTGTACCGGCAGGACAGGAAGACGGTGCAGAGGATCAAGGCCAGAGAGATTGTACCGGGTGACATTGTGGAAGTGGCTGGTAGGTTTTCCTGCATTCTTCTTTCTACTTGAACTCATTTGACTTCATGTCTTGCAAAAGCCTATATATTAATATAATATGGAAAAGGTTTAAAGGAGCAGTACTTTGTAAAATAAATTTTTTTGAGCTTTACATTATGTTATAATTTTAACCCTCATCAAAAACACACCTGCAGTGTTGCCTTGCATGTTTGAGAAATCCTTGACTCTCTCTTTGTAACATAGTTACTTGATTTTGCTACAAAATGGCACTATGTGCACGCATAATACTGCCCCTTTAAAAGACCAAAACCACTTTTAAATATTTCATATTATAAACTTTTTCTGGATATTTAGACAGAAACCTTTTGTTTTCTTAGGAGAGTTTCTGAACGTATTTCTCTCTGCTGCAGATAAGTCCTATAATTGCTCGAAGGTCACGATTTACATTTAGCAACAAGCTCACGTCTGTCCAAGCCTAAGAGCCACTGCAGAGGTGACTCACCCTCCAAATGTGATGTACCAGTACTTTGAGATGTTCCTGTTAACCCATTGTGTCTAAGCGATGGGTAAAACAAAAAATTAACACTCCCTTGTCCTTTTTGTTTGTATTTCTACACACACACACACACGCCTATTTTAAATTCATCTCCTGCATCCTCCCAACGGATCCGCTGTGAGATTTTTCCCACTGTGCTGTCAATGAATTGAGCGCCGGAGTAATTCAAGGTCCAGTCAGCGTATTTCAGCAGCTAGAAAATCCTCAGGATGTACAGCTCTGCTTCTGAAAGTGCCCACTCACTTATATAATTCTGCAGAGGGATGAGCGGAAACCGGCATGCCGAGGAATGTCCTCAGAAACAGCGGCTCCATCTCGTACTCAGTATGACCCTAAGTCGATGAAGCGATGGTCACAGTTTGTGTGGATAACAAAAGGTTTTATTTTTAGCCATCATTGGCTGTTTAGATTATGGAATGCTGTATTTATAGAGGCAGTGACAGTCATGAAAATGACAGGTGCCTGGTCCCACCCTGAGCCTCTCCTGATCATGGAATATAGCAACAGAGGGACTTCATGCTAACCTTGACAGGGACAAATGGAGTCAGTCCTGGTCTTAATGTTTGGGATTTTCTCTGTTAAAAAGAAACTGACCGCTTAAATGTTTGGTTCAAACTTAAAGAGAGACATAGAGAGTAGGCGATGGTGGCAACAATGGTAGGTGAATAAATGTGTGAAGGGTGTTGGGTTCCTCTGGACTTGAAGGAGTGCTATACAAGTACAGGTCATTTAGGATTTCCATCTACGGGTTTTGAAGCGGATCAACCAGCAATGACGGTAAGAGTTCACTCAGCAATCGGTGGATCGATAGTTCGATCTGCCTACCCTCATCGTTTCTGTCCCTGGAGAAGACGATTCACCCACCTTGCCTGCTTGTGTTGGTCAGAAAGGCCCATGGGGGAAAATGGCAGTCTGCCTTCTGTCTGCCTGCCCCAGGACAGCTGTAGCTATGATCCAGTAGCTCTCCATCATCACCGTGTGAATGTTCCCTTTGAGATTTCAGCTTGAGATATGAAGGGGATTATAAATAAAATCGATTGTCATTATGAAAAACAATGTAGAAATTTCTCTTGAGTTTCCTGCCTCTGGTAAAGCACAAATCCACTATTGTGAAAATTCACTTTTTGGCAAATGTGTTTCCATCTCCCCTTTTGTGCATTCATTTTCTGTTTGGAAAATCCAAAAACGACCTGAAACAAATGTAAAGTTTTTCGAATTTTGCTGTTTCAGTACATCTTTTCTAATGAGATACTTTAAAATGTGCATAAAAACATTGATGGAAAGAGAGCCAGTAGCTGTTGACCATAAAATTGCATGTTAGAATTATGAAAATAAATATAATTGCATATCACACCAATTTTGGACAAAAAATCAAACTTTTTTCCAGAACAAGTTGCTGCGGTAAAATTGGGTGGTTTTTCAGCAGTATCGAAATGTATGTATTTCGCGAAACTTTAGTGGAAAGACTTTTTTTTTTTGCTTTTCTTATTAAATGGAAACACTGCACATGGAACTTTTTTTTTAAACATTAGCTTAATATTTACAATGTTTTGCGGACATTTGTAGCTAGTAGTGAGACGCGCCCTCTCCTCCTGCAGAAAGCTCTTGATGAAAGCAGCGGGATGCTGCTCTGTCAGCAGCACGAGGCTTTCTTAAAAAGAGCGTCCCAGCAGGCAGCAAAGAGCGGACGTTTATCCCGCAGTCGGGACAAACTCGTCAGTTGTACATGCATTCTAAATCCTCCTCATATCTCTTACAATGGCTCCCGTCCTACTATTCCCCTCTGCCCTCCCCTAGCCGAGCTTCAAAGTGACCCGTGCCATGTGGAGGCGGAGTGTGATGATGATGCAAAAGCTGGCCGGGTGGCTGAGACGGAGGACGCAGAGATGAGTCCTCCGTGGCTTCCTCTTCTGTGGGAAGAACAGCCAGAAAGCCCGTCCTGCATCTCCCAGCTGCTGCTTTCAGCATTTCCATTTTCTCATGCCTGAACACAGCTTCACTGTTAAAGTTTTCATTCAGACCTTGATCAATGTCAACCCATTTCATTTATTTATGCAACAAAATTGGTGATTGTATTCTCTGCATTTTTTTTATATATCAGTAGGAGTGATTATTTAAAGATTTGCCATAAATAATAGTTTATGGTTTTATGACAAGGCTAATAAAGTTAGTTTACAAGCTCTGTTTGGATTTAAGTCCTTGTCATAACAGTGCACTCTGTCAGCTGCCAGTTTACTGTTTGGTTTTGAGGGCTTGCAAATTTGGATGTTCTTGTTGTGGAGTTCGATTGTGTGTGTATGTGTGTGAGAGAGGAGCGCTCCTGTTCTACCGGACAGAGAGTTGGAGAGAGAGCGATGACCTTATAGGGAAGCACTTCTGCAGATAACCGTTCCACCCCGCTGGGCTCTGTGCTCTGCAGTTACTGTACCCATCAGCACCCGCCGCTGAGATTCCAGACACCATGGAGAGTATGTGGCATTTACTGGGGTCTGGCAAGTGTCCGTTGTCACCGAGGGATGGTCTTTTGGCCAAAGGTTCCCACTTGTCAGCAAGACAGAAGCACTCTCATTTACCCCGACTGGGGAGACGGACAGGAACACAACCTCAGGGGGTCAGAGGTGCAGACGGAGGCGAGGCGGAGCTTCTCATCTGGCTCTGACCGATCTGCAGAACCGCAGCTTGGTTCAGTAGGATTGTATATAGTGTGGATAGAAATTTTCATCATGTGTTTAATGTTTACTGTAAATGCAAAGTGTTATGGGAATGTTATGATGTTCACAGCAGTAATTCTCTGACGTTTAGATGTATACAGATTCTTTACCACAACCGGTCCGCCGGCCGCACAAGTCTCGTTAGCTCTTTGTACCGTGGTGACTGCTGGGAATCCGTGCTATGCTCTCCGGTGACAGTCTAGATGCTGAAATGTCAGTCTGAAGAGAGGAGGCACACACTTGGAACATGAGAGGAATGCAGTCCTCCAGCCTGCTGTTAGCGCATCTGTACTTCCATCGATCGAAGCGTCTTCATGTTGGCAATTTAATGCAGCTGCAGCTGATTCATCTTCCACACACCACTTTAAATATTTAGTAGGGATTTTATGCAAATGTGAGTATTTTTGCAAACAAAAATCTAAAGTGTGGATTGCTTTGCTATTCAGCCCCTTTTACACAAATACCCTTAATAACATCCAGATTCCTTCAGAAATCACCTAATTAGGAAATACTCTAACCAAGTGTCATTTATTGCATCCTAATTGTGTAGGACTTAACCGATTAATCGGATCAATCATGATGAATCGATTATTGAAGTAATCATCAACTAATTTAGTAATCAGTTAAGCTTTAATTGGAGTGTACAGACTAAAAAAAGCAATTTGATGAAACAACACACACACCAAAAATGTGCAAAAAATATATACATTTTGCATTTAAGATTAAAAAAAAGAACTGTAGATATGTTCTATAAAAACTTGTCAATGATATAGTTACAGCTTCACCTGGTTCAAATTCTATAAAAGATAAAAAAGTCTTATAAATCACATTTTGCTTTTTTATCAGTTCATGTAAAAATTAGTCAGTGTTGATGTTTGAAGCAACAATGCTGTGTTGTTACATTTTAGGCAATAACATTTTTTTTTCATACTTAAAGAAAATAATTGTATTGTTTATTTTTTATAGTTTATGTCTTTTAATGTCTAACCAGTGTAGTGGAGATCAGTGACAAAGTGTGTGTACTGTGTTAAATGTATTTTTGATTTCAGACAAGCAGCACCCATGAGGGCACCAGAAAAATTTGTACAATCAATCGTAACCTATTTAAATAAAAATGTGCGAAGAATTTTAATAGCTACGGACTAAGCAATACAAAAGTAACTAATCTGCTCTCGAAAAAAATGTATCTGGTTGCCCCTGGTAACGGAAACAGCATTATGTTGCATCATGTGGCAGCTATCTGCTGCTGTTTTATGACAGAAAACTGAAATCCTGAGAAAACAATGCAGAGACGATGCTTTTATAAGAGAACTAACCCCTTGTTAAAGCTGACGAGTTTACATTAGCAACAGGGAGCCAAGAAACCAGCGACCTGTTAAATATTGATTTATCTTTCCCATCAGCAAACTGTTAACTAAACATCACGCTTCTGCTAGCGCTGTTGCCAGGGGAAACGAACACTGGTGTCCGGAGTCGAGGCTGAACGGTCACAGTGAAACGAACTTGTAAAACAACACGTTTGCAGACACGTTTAGGTTTCCTCGCTTTATTGACTTGTCATTTGCATTTCTCAAACACTGTTGATTTCTGAGTTTGAATCACGCCTTTCGCACACACATAAATGGAGCCGATGATTTAGTCAGTGGGACATGTGTTGGGAAGCCTGTTGATGTGAAACGGCCCACTCAACGTGACAGCCTTTGTTCAGCCGCCATCGGCACATGGAGCCTCCAGGCTGTCTCTGAGGAAGCCTGGACCGCTGTCGCCCCTAACATACAGCAGGTGCAGCTGCCACTCAAAGCTGGACGCCTTCAGTCTCAGCCTCACCTGCTATTTAAAGGTCTGTTTAAAAAGCACCTTGGGGAGTCGCAACGCACTTAATGCATCACCAGGTGTGAACTCAGTTCAGCATGTCTGCAATTGCTGGAGTCAGAGATGCATTGGCAAGCAGATATAAACCAGCACAAGATGCTTGGACAGCAACCAAAGAGGATGTTGACATAGAAGGACAAAGGATATACACATGCGTCATGAATGCAGGTCTGCAGTGGGACGTTCTGGACACTTCTGGCTTTTAATAGAGTCGCAGATTTTTAACAAGGTGCATGCAATCAAAAATTACAACAAAAAAAAAGAAGTAGAATGTGTCACTTCCTACTTCTTTGGTCATCTGTGTGAGATGTATTTGTACATTTGGTTCCTGTGATATAAAACATTAAAAAATGAAACAATAGCCACAGATAAAGCCCGATTCACTGTATGACTCTTTTCCTTTCCACTCATTCTGTTCACTCTCTCCATCAAAACAGCACATCGTTCCTTTTGTGTCCCTCAAGTTAATTCTTTCTTTTTAAAGGTACCGTATTAAATAAAATCAGCTGTTTTGAGCTTTACATCATGTTGTGATGTAAAAAATATACCTGGAGTGTTGCCTTGATTCTTTCATCTGTGTTTGAGAAATCCTTTAATCTCCCATGGCAACCATTCAGCTGGTTGTCACAGGAGATGCCTCCTCTCTGCTCCTTCAGACTAGCCAGCAGCAATTAGCAAACATCTGGTGGAACTGTGCATCTGCTGAGCTCAAAACGTTAAAGGGTTAATAGAATAAACGTGGTGATGACTTCTTAAAGGCGGAGTTTCAGAAAGAGCAGGAAGTTCTTAAAGAGACAGAGGCCCAATTTCAACGCATTAAATTATGAAGTCAAATTTCTTTTAAGTTGCATTTGATATATATTGCGATTTTACTATGACTAAGGGTAACATAGTCACTTAATCGTATTATAAAATGATACCATGTGACTGCAAAACATATAATACTGCCACTTTAAATAGAACCTGGTTGTTAAAGATAGCACCCACAGCAAACAAATGTGAAGCTAAAAAATGCGTGACTTGTAGTTTGATTTTAAATATTACCCTCTCTGCCTCCTGGCAATGAATAGTATATGTTGATCGATCTGTAAGGTGCAGTCTAGTCACAATCGTTAAAAGTGGCACTGAAGAAAAGAATGCTGATCTAACTAAACAACTGTTCACGACTCTGCTTTGTAACAGTGTTCATACTCAGTGTTGCTTTTACACCAGCTTGTTGTTCTAGTGTTGTTTTATAGCAGCTCAGCCTGTTGTAGCATTTGAGGACTAAGATAGAGTAAACACTGCATATTGCCACTTAAAAATAATCTGTTCTAAATTACCTACTGTAAATATTAATTTTATGTAGAGAGAACGTGGTTTGAAAAAGTGTTCTGCCTGAACGTTTTTTGTATTTATAGTAATATTTTTATTTTAGTCTATAAGATGACAAAATTTTGTTGTTTGATGTCAGCATTTTAAAGTATTGAATCAGATTTTATGATTAGAACTTGAGTAATATTTTTACTAAGTACTTTTTTACTCTTACTTGAGTAATTTCATGGAAAGATACTTTTTATTTTACTTGAGTAAAAGTAATGTAGTACTGCTTTACTTTGGCTCCTCTTTTAACCCTTTAACATTTTTTTTTACCAGCATTGCACTTAGAAGTAGCTTGTATAATGAACTCAGTTCTACCAGGTATTTACTAATTGCTGCTGGCTAGTCTGAAGGAGCTGAGTGGGGAAGGCTGCTCTGTGAGGTGAAAGCTTGGAAACTGCAACTGCAAAAGCTGCGTCTAGAACAGGGGTGTCCAAAGACGGTCCTCGAGGGCCGGCATCCTGTATGTTTTAGTTCTCTCCCTGGTTTAATACAGCTGGATCAAATGATGGCTCATTAGAAGGCCTAAGAAGAACATTGACATGCTGAAATGGTTGTTACTCCCACCAGGGAGAGAACTAAAACGTGCAGGATGCCGGCCCTCGAGGACCCACTTTGGGCACCCCTGGTCTAGAAGGTGGTGCTAGGTGCAACCAGGTGTTTTGCCATGGAGAATAAAAGAACATTTTACATACTACTGCCCCTTTAAAAAAAGTTAACTTGAGGGAAACACAAGGAATGATGCTGTCTTGATGACAAATGAGTTAGAAGCAAGAGTTTCAACTCCCTTTGTTTTGATATCTTTAGAAAATTTGTTATTTGTGGCTGTTGTTTCCTTGATTCTTACTCTACTATTGTTGTAGGATGTTTTGTGATACTCTGACACAGTTCCTAGGTCTATATGTGGATTTTGCCTGTGGAACTGTGCCATACCGTGAACCATTTCCCCAATTTCCACGCCTTTTATGTACCATTAGGATGTTGAATTGGGTCACAGCAATTCCGTCGCATCAAGATGGGCCTTTTCCTTTGAGACTGGCCTTTTATGGCTCACAAGTTCTTCATTTCCTTCTTTTTTCTCCTCTCTCTCTCTCTCTCTCTCTCTCTGGTTCTCCCTTTCTTCTCCTGTCAGTGATTGCTGCACTGTTTTCCTGTTGGGTGGCACAGCAAACATTTTGTAATGAGCGGCACTTTATCATTCCAGTTACAGCAAAGCTAAGTAATTGCCTTCACAGCACAGGCATCTCATTTGTTCAGCCTTCATTTGGCCAAGACACACAAAGACAGCCCTTACTAGGAACGCGATGAGGAGCTACTCAGCTGGTGATAAAATATATCACTGATATGCAAAGGCTGCAGCCCCAGCCCTCTATGAATCAGTTTAATGCCATTGTTCTGATTATGTTTCTGTCTTATTTGTTTGTGTACTCTCTCTAACTGGGCCATGTCTGGTTGTAGTTGGAGACAAAGTGCCTGCTGACATCCGCATCTGTTCAATCAAGTCAACGACTCTGAGGGTAGACCAGTCCATCCTGACAGGTGAGGCTCACAACATGGCAGACGCCAAACACTTTTTATTCAGTTCTACCTCACAGCGCTGTTGCTTTTATTACTTCTGTTTTGTTTTACCTTTTGCATTACTATGAAGTGATTAAAGAGTAGTTCACTGTCTGCTTGGCGACAGAGCAGTTCCCTGACAACCTTTAGGAAAAACGCCACATTCTTATGGTATTAGCACAAGAATTTAAAACAAATATATAAAATCTAGTGACAATCAAAATTTTTTTTGTTGAGTTAATCACATTTTAGTCAAAAGCCATACATCAACAAAGTAAGCAACATTCTCAATTGAAGAAACCCTTTTTTGTTCTGTGTTTTCCTCGTAGGTGAATCTGTGTCTGTCATCAAGCACACCGACCCCGTCCCGGACCCTCGAGCCGTCAATCAAGACAAAAAGAACATGCTCTTCTCTGTAAGACAAAATCTACTCTACTTTCTTCTAGGGCTGGGCGATGCAGCTGAAATCATGTTAAAAGCGTTCATATCAGTCGATATTGATAATTATTGGTTTGTTTTTTTGTTTTAAATATGCATGGCTTTTCCTGTTTTAGTCACAGTTTTCCTTTGTTATGAGGCTCAATGGCAAACATGAATGTGCTGCTGTGCATGTTACTCAACAGGTTGTTGCTAGGCAACCAAAGAGTGAGCGAGTTAGTTTAGTTTGTCATGAGAGCTTGAGCGGCTGAAGCCTTTCCTCTGCATACGTCCCCCAGAATGCAGTGTAGTTCAGACGTATTATCTATTGATATTGTTCATGTGTCTATCACATACGTTGCTATTGATTTATTGTCAAGTCTTACTTTCTTTAAAACATTTTCGTAAAAACTTTGTAGCACATATATAGATTGTTTTGTCGTTTCAAGGTGTGTGTAACGCTAACAGGTGTGTGTGTGACCCGCTGTTTCAGGGCACCAACATCGCCGCCGGGAAGGCCGTGGGCGTTGTCGTGGCCACGGGCGTCAACACGGAGATCGGGAAGATCCGCGACGAGATGGCGGCCACGGAGCAGGAGAAGACGCCGCTGCAGCAGAAGCTGGACGAGTTCGGCCAGCAGCTCTCTAAGGTCATCACCCTCATCTGCATCGCTGTGTGGATCATCAACATCGGCCACTTCAACGACCCCGTCCACGGCGGCTCCTGGATCCGCGGGGCGGTCTACTATTTCAAGATCGCCGTGGCGCTGGCCGTCGCCGCCATCCCCGAGGGCCTCCCCGCCGTGATCACCACTTGCCTCGCCCTGGGCACCCGCCGCATGGCCAAGAAGAACGCCATCGTCCGCAGCCTGCCCTCTGTGGAGACCCTGGGCTGCACCTCCGTCATCTGTTCGGACAAAACCGGCACTTTGACCACCAACCAGATGTCTGTCTGCAGGGTGAGGCTCACAGAAACACTCACACACTCCCTCTCTTGGTGCATTACTAAGCAGCTCTGTGATCGGTGTCTTTTCATCTTTTTACTTCCTGCCTACAGCCTGAGGACGTTGTCAGAATTAAGACAGTTTTCCTTATGATCAGGTATCCAGGGTTTTAACAAGCGGATAATGTGCTGCTGCTCCTCTTATCTACACGCAGCTGACAACTTGCAGAGCTGCTGTTGCATAACTGACCTTGCGTCACAAAGCAGCAAGACGGCCAGCCTGTGGTTGCTGTTTATCGCTCTGTATTAATCAGCAACACCACGCAGCTCCTTGACCATACATTATGGAAAAGGACATTTTGGCTGTCAGTAATATTTAATCCTTTTCTTTGCATTTTTTTATATCACTTTTGTTCTGTAGGTTGCTGCTGGTCTGTCAGAATAACACATTTGTCCCAGAAATTATTGCAGTAAACGATAATATTGTTCTTTTGAGACCATTTTCAAATGCGGTATCAATAATGGCATAAGAGTGCATATTTTCTCTCTCAGACTGATAAACTTTAACTGTGAAACATATTATAAATATCCAAAATGAAACACAATCAAAACCATAGAAAAATGGATTTTGATGTCTTTGTAAACAAAACTGCCCTTCAAAACATATTAATAATCAGAACAGAAATTATTGATCTCATTTTGATTTACCATCAAAATGAGATGGTAAATGCAATTACAATAAGCAATTTGTAATTGCTTATTGTGACAATTACATGGGAAGTTCATGATCAAATTAGAAAGATGTTAGATCTGATTCTTCAGATGATGATTTTGATTGAATTTATTTTTTCTCCTTTCCTATCAACTATAAACACATAAAAGAGAACAAATGTGGAGAAACTGACTAAAATAATAGGTTGACTTGGTCAAACAAGTAAAACAAAAACTGCAACAAACCTTCTTTCAAATGGCTCAGAAAGTACAATTATGAATTCTAAATATAATTGTTGCCGATCGAGAAGGTTTTTATCCAGTATAGGGATCAATAGAGCTGTTGGTATCTCTGTCAAGCGTCTCTACTTACACAGCATCTGCTTCACCAAATCTAACCTAGTGACTAGGTTAAGATAGTTGTTGGATTTTGTGTTTAGTTGATTTAATAAGAAAGAATATCTGATCTGTTTGAGTTGCAAACCTCCAGGTCTGCCTGGCACTGTGATTTCTTCCTTCTGGACACAGACAGCTTTACTCTTTACTCAGGCCTCCTGGCAGTCTCTTTTGTTTACTTCTGTGAAGAAACACTTATTTCTGCCTCCCGGCTCGGAGCTACCAAAGACACACTTTGTAGCACTGCAGGCAGCTCGCTGTTCGAACGATGCTGCCCCCTGCTGTGCCAGTGAAGAAACAGAAGCAGTCTTCATGATTTCAACTTCTCTGATTCTCAGATGTTCATACTCAACAAAGCAGAAGGAGAAAGCTGCTCTCTGTCAGAATTCACCATCACAGGTTCAACCTACGCACCTGAAGGAGAAGTGTGAGTGTTACGAACAAATACAGGTGACAAATCAACTTTTCAAGTGTAAAAAAAGCATATTTTAGACTAATACGCCTCTTCACAGTTACCAAGATGGCAAACCAGTGAAATGCTCCCAGTTTGAGGCTCTGGTGGAACTGGCCACCATCTGTGCGCTGTGTAATGACTCCTCCCTGGACTTCAATGAGGTTGGAACAACTTGCTTTTTGAGATGATTAAAAACTAAAGATAAACACATTTCATTTTCAGGATGACAAAGAGGGAAATGAGTAACCTGGATTGTGTTTGATCGATCAGGTGAAGGGTGTGTACGAGAAGGTGGGTGAGGCCACAGAGACGGCGCTGACCTGTCTGGTGGAGAAGATGAACGTCTTCGACACAGAAGTCCACAACCTGTCCAAGATCGACAGAGCCAACGCTTGCAACTCGGTGAGTGGCAGCCGCCCACGGCTCCCAGTCAGCAGGTTTTTCTCACTGACCGTGCCTTTCATCGCCTCAGGTGATCAAACAGCTGATGAAGAAGGAGTGCACCCTCGAGTTCTCCCGGGACAGAAAGTCCATGTCCGTCTACTGCACCCCCAACAAGTCCCGCTCTGCCGTCGGCAAGATGTTTGTGAAGGTAGAGAGGAAGGAAAAAAGTGCTGAGAGTCTGTCTGTGGCGCTGGGTTCAGTGGGAATAATTAACATCCCCGTTCTGCTTCCCAGGGGGCCCCGGAGGGCGTCATCGACAGATGCACTCACGTCCGAGTGGGCAACACCAAAGTCCCCCTCTCTCAAGGCATCAAGGAAAAGATCATGTCCGTTATTCGCGAGTATGGGACAGGTCGGGACACGCTGAGGTGTCTGGCTCTGGCCACACGAGACAGCCCCCCTAAAACAGAGGACATGGTCCTGTCCGACACCGCCAAATTCTCAGAGTATGAGGTGAATATTTTCACTCAGTAGCTTTTTGAATGGGGCGACTGAAAATAATTGTTGAGTACCTCAAGGTTCTGTGTTGGAACCTTTTGCTTCTTAGCTTATTCAATGATGATTTTCCAGAATGTTGCCCATCAAATGTAACCTGCCAGATATACGCAGATGATGTTGTTTTGTATCCCGTAGCAACAACAATGGACAGCAGCTATGTGTAAAGTTAATGATTGGTTGCAGAGATCTCATTTATGTCTTAATTCATCCAAAACTTAAAAATACTGACAGTAATTCTAGTACTCAAATAAACAGAAGCACTCCCTTCCAGCATTTAGTCCACCCCAGCAGTGGACTAAATGCTAAATGCCTAAATGCTGCCTGTGTCCCGCTGGGAGGCCCATTAGTTAATAATGAATGGGTCAGCTGTCTTCATACATATGTGTACTAAAATAATCATTAGTTGTTGCCCTACTGTTATTTTAAGCAAAGATGTATGGATCTTAAGGTTGTTTTATACATTTCTTTGCCGTAGTGTTATTTTGTGGCTGTTTTGTTCTCTAGCATCAACCTGCCAATAGGACTGGAGATGGAAATTAGCCACCTGGCTATAATCTCATGTATTTACATGTCAGTGTTTGTTGATGCACATTGTCCCATCTAAATTCTCTGACGTTTGTCTCCCTTCCTGCCTCCCCAGTCCGACCTCACCTTCGTTGGCTGTGTGGGCATGTTGGACCCGCCCAGGCAGGAGGTGGCTGCCTCTATCAAGCTGTGCCGCCAGGCCGGCATCCGGGTCATCATGATCACGGGTGACAACAAGGGCACAGCCGTGGCCATTTGCCGGCGCATTGGCATCCTTATGGAAGACGACGACATAGAGCACATGGCCTTCACTGGGCGGGAGTTTGACGAACTGACCCCCTACGCCCAGCGGGAGGCCGTGACCAAGGCTCGGTGCTTCGCCCGCGTCGAGCCCTCCCACAAGTCCAAGATCGTCGAGTTCCTGCAAGGATTCGATGAAATAACCGCCATGGTAAGCAGCCATAGGAAGGAAGTCACCAGCTTTGTTGATAATCTGCTGATGTCGAAAAAACACAATTTTGCAATTGCAGTGTTTCGATTATATAAAACACACAATTAAAATCGTACTTGAATGGGCTTATCACAATAACAAAGTTTGCTGGTTTATTGTTCCAGAATTTATTGCAATAATATTGTCATTTTGAGAGCATTTTCAAGTAACATAATGGTAATCATATCATCGTGCAATAACACATTCTCAAAGATCAATAAACTTTAAATTCTAATCAACATCTAACACTGGAAATGGAAGATATTTTAAATATCTAAAATAGATAAATAAAATAACAGAAACCATAAATAAAGAGTTATGAAGTGTCTGCGAAATTGTCCTTCAACAAAAGGGCTAGTTGAGACCAAAACACCAGACTTTTGGTAGAAAGAGAGAAAAGAAGAAAATTATAAATCATGCAAATGGAAATTATTGAGCTTACTTTAATTTATATTGATTTACTGCTTATTGTGATAGACCTACCCTTGAATAAGTTAGTTCACACGAAAAGTCTTTAAAAAACACGGCGCTCCATCATCCTCCAACTATTTCCTGTCGTCTTCTTTGTGGTTTGAACCAGTGGCGACATCTGCTTCTTGATCACGTGACTTGTGTGACACGAAAAAAGTGTTTCTATTAAAGTTTTGTGAAATAAACCAATTTTGATACGGCCAAAAAACACATCATCCGAGCATCAAAACTTTTTATCGAAAAACCAGAGTTTTTGAAATTGGCACGTTTCCATTAAGCAAATTTATTTTCGAAATGTCAAATTGAGGAATTATATGGTGAATGGAGTCCTGCAGTATCTCACTGTGCTGTGTTTGCCTACAGACGGGGGACGGAGTGAATGACGCGCCTGCTCTGAAGAAGGCAGAGATCGGCATCGCCATGGGGTCCGGCACGGCCGTGGCCAAGTCGGCCTCAGAGATGGTCCTGGCAGACGACAACTTCTCCTCCATAGTGGCCGCTGTGGAAGAGGGTCGAGCCATCTACAATAACATGAAGCAGTTTATCAGATACCTTATCTCCTCCAACGTGGGTGAGGTTGTCTGGTGAGTTTCCTCTGGTGCCCTGCAGCAACTGATGTTCTCTCATTTTTCAGTGCTCTGTTTAGAAAGAGAAATAGCTTCTATTAAATGAAAGTTATATGTTGCTTTGGAAACAAATTCAACCTTCTCATACCTCCTCATATTTTGTTATGCTACAGCCATAACAAAATAAACTTCCAAAATAGTAGATGTTATGTCTTAGTCCAAACATTGTAGTGCTAAATTGTGAGCTGGAGGGAATATTGTACATGGTTTACTGTTGTAGCCCATTTTTACCTTTTTGCAGACTGAAAGTTTTGTTCATTCAAAATGATTCAGCTGGAGCTTCTGTTAAAGCTCCAGCTGGCAAATTTAATAAAAAATATGTTTTTTCCATATTTGATAAAACTGTCACTATGTCCTCAAAAAATATATAAGACAGTGTGTGAAAATAAGTTTAACAAAAGCATATTTTTATGAAAGTTACCAGTGCAGCTTTAACAGGACTTTTGATAATTTTGTCGCAGATTTTCAATAGGATTTAGTGCTGAACCTTGACTAAGTTGTTTTATTAACACATGGATGTACTTTGGTTTGAATCATTCCTTGAAATCTTTTGCATTCCCTCACAGGTTTTCTTTCAGGATTACCCTAAAAATACACCAGCTTGTCTTTTGTATCTTGAGGCAAACTTTGAACAGGACTCCTTTAAACTATGGGTTAGGGTATCAGAGTAAAGAGTACTGGAAACAAATACATTCCACATTTTTAGATAATTTTTTTTCGTTCAAATAATGTGAAAAGCCATGTATCATTGTCCTTACAGTCACTACCTGTAGTTTATACTAATTTGTGTTGGTTATCACATAAAATTGTAACATGATACATTGAAGTTTGTTTTTCTGTATCTTGACCAAATGCTGTTGCAAGGTACAGTGAATCAGGGTAAATGTGAAGTAATTAGAGATGCACCAATCTGATATCAATATCTGTATCAGCCCTGATGTTGAAAACAATTCTAGAGCTGGCATTAGTGACAATGTGCCTGATCAACAAGTCTTTTTATTCAGTCTGATTCTATGTTTTATGCTCTGAGCAATGTCATGCTTTATTATTTATTTTACATTATATTTAGAATTCCTAATTGCACTTTCAGAACCCTTTGAAAGAAGATTTGTAAAGTTTATTTTGACATGTTTGACCAAAGTCAGTCAGTTTCAATTTCTTTATCATTAATTTTGCATTGGCTGCTCTACTCCTAACTGCACTGACTACACAAATTAAAGTTGTTTTTATGTTTATCCAAGCTTGTGAAGCTACTGGCATATTTAAGTATGCTGTTCTGGTAAATGAAATGAAAAATAAATTTTTAATTGCGTATTCACATTTATGTCTGTTTAAAAAAAAGAAACGTTTTAAGTCAGTTCAGCTCGGTATCGGTCGATACTAAACCTCTGTTATTGGTATAAGAAGTGAAAAACGTTTATCGGTGCATCCCGAGAAGCAGTGGTTCATCCATGAGTGCAGAGTAGTTCCAGTTTGTTTCTGACAGCATTTCTCCTCCTGTCAGCATCTTCCTGACCGCCGCTCTGGGTTTCCCCGAGGCTCTGATCCCAGTTCAGCTGCTGTGGGTCAATCTGGTGACAGACGGCCTCCCCGCCACCGCGCTGGGCTTCAACCCCCCGGATCTGGACATCATGGAGAAGCCGCCCCGTAACGCCAAGGAGCCGCTGATCTCTGGCTGGCTCTTCTTCAGATACCTGGCTATTGGAGGTTAGCTGATGCAACCAGAAAGAAGCTGTCACCTGCTACCTTCTTTTAGTTTTATTAATCTTTATGTTCTGTGTGACGAGAATGTTTTTTCTGTCTCTGCTCCCAGGTTATGTGGGCGCTGCCACTGTGGGAGCTGCTGCCTGGTGGTTTACAGTCTCAGAGGACGGCCCACAGATCACGCTCTACCAGCTGGTAGTAGCTGTTTCCACTCACCATAAAGTTCTGCAGATTGAAATCATGAAAATAAATTTGCTGAAAGGAAACATGCCAATTTTGAAAAACTCATATTATCAGTAAAAAGTTTTTGCGCTAGGATGAGGTGGTTTTTCCACTGTATCAAAATAATATTTACGCATCAAACGAGTCACGTGATCAACAGGATGTTACTACCCAGTATCACACAGTTCATAAAAAGTTGTGTATCATTTTGTAAAACCCAAAATGCTGCATACGTTGCCGCTCCCAAATATAAGGGGCTTGTTGCGCCAGGTTTGTTTGGGGACCAAAATTGCAGCGTTTGTTACATTTCCAACGGATGCTATCCTCTTTCACACTGCACTGTGTCAAACGAACCAAACTCTTTGTTTCCCGTCTCGCCTGTGGTGGCGCTGCACCAAGAACAACTGAAGGACATGACACAAAAATCTCTGAAGGAGACACTGAACGCAGCAGGAACACACCCTAAGACGCCGGCGTCTCCTCTGATAGATGATGAGCGCTGAATTATGAAAATATATCATGTAACTGTTTACATCCATCACTGCCATTGACTTTTAATGACTTGTCTTGTGAACAAGCTTACTCAGATGTGATTTTTAATTTCATTTCTTAATAGACACACAGCAATTGCAAAATTGTGGGGTCTTTCGACAGCAAAACACTGACAAATATTTACAGACATTTGTAATGGAAACGCAGCTGCTATGACAACGTTTTCAGGTTCTTGCACCTTCATCCCATTTTTCCTCTCTCCACAGAGCCACTTCCTGCAGTGCAGCCCTGACAACCCCGAATTCGAAGGCTTGGACTGCCACGTGTTTGAGTCGCCGTATCCGATGACCATGGCTCTCTCCGTGCTCGTCACCATCGAGATGTGCAACGCTCTAAACAGGTGGCTCCACTTTTTTCTTTGTCATTAGAGAAGGAGCATTTGCTGTCAGGAGGAGGAGGAGGAGGAGTACCTGCTGTGTCACTGAAACAAACCATTTGCATTCTGTCCTCGCTGCAGTCTGTCAGAGAACCAGTCCCTGCTGCGGATGCCTCCCTGGGAGAACATTTGGCTGCTGGGGGCCATCTGTCTCTCCATGTCCCTCCACTTCCTCATCCTCTACGTGGAGCCTCTCCCTGTGAGTTTATCCTGTGATAAAATTCTTGTGTCAACATTTTAAGTAGGAAGTTTATTCCCCAAAGATAGGTGGAGTCATTGTGGGACCCTCTAGTGGTCATATGCTGTTATTACAGTAAAGTTAATTCAATTTTAAGCTAAAGAGAAAGGAACTTTATACAGAAGAGAATTAGGGCCACTGAAAAAAATGAATTCTGACTTTTTTAAAATGCTGAGATTAAAGTCAGAATTCCTTCTTTTTTTGTGGCCCTATTCCTCTTCCGTAACTTTAGTTTAAAGAGATTGTTTGGAATCTAGCCTTTGTCGATAATTGGTATAAATGCAGGTTAGTTAGTGATTAAATGAAATGAATGTCAGTTAATTATTACTTTCTATGTACCGGGTGTATCTTAAATGCAAAATGTCTATATTTCTTATGCATTTTTGGCTTAGTTATTGCTCTGACTCTTAAATGTACTTTTTTCAGTCTGCATAGTTAATTAATTGTTATTGATTAAGTCAGGAGTAGGATTACGATTATTCCAGAAATCAATTAATCACGGTTAGTTCGGTTAATTGTTTCAGCCCTACGTCACTGCTGACATGTTTGGCCAGTTCATAAGACGTTTTTAAAATAAGATGAGAAGTGGAAGCTCCCTTATGTAGTTGTGTACCATTACGCCCCCTGTTGGCCACCACCATGCAGTCATCCCACCACGACTACTTGATTTCTTGCCAACCATTGTTTCCGTACTGCACCCAGGTCATCTTCCAGATCACGCCCCTGGACACCACCCAGTGGATGATGGTGCTGAAGATCTCACTGCCCGTCATCCTGCTGGACGAGCTGCTGAAGTTCGCCGCCCGGAACTACCTGGAGCTGGGTAAACAGCTGGAGAAGCCGTCCCGCGGAGACTGCCCCCTGTCTGCATGTGCTGAGGGCGTCTCCTGGCCCTTCGTGGCCGTCGCCCTTCCCCTGGTGCTGTGGATCTACAGCACAGACACTAACGTGTCCGCCATGTTGTGGCCCTGACTGACTCCGGCACACTACCCCTCCTGCACACCAGAGTGAAGTGGACGTTAACACACACCTAACAGTTACATTAACTCTGAATAACTCGTCGTAAACATCCGCACCTGCTCTGACCACTGTCAAATATGTTCTATTTACATTTCCACTGATACATTTATTATTTTTTTTATTTTGTTTTTGCGGGGAGAGGGTTTGTTATTTAGTCATATTTTAATGACTGATATTACATCTGTTATTTTCCTACCAGGCTTCTTCCATCGTCGAGCGCCATAGTGACCAGTTAGAGAAGCCTGTGATGTTGGAGCTTTGTGTTTTAGCTGTACAGAGAATTTACACTATTTTCTATTAATATTTTGTAATTTTTAGGGAGGGAACAAAGAGTCTCGGACGTGTGATTGTAACACCTGAAAAGTGCAGAGCTGAAAGGAGGGGAAAGTCTTGCAATATATGAATCTCAGTTATTATTGAACTCTGTACACCTTCATTATTTTTCTGCACCAGGCAGAGCGCAGCTACCTCAATGCTGTTATTATGACCAGAAGTACTCATTTTGTCTAAACACCATTTCAAAGGTTATCACTAAAAGTGTTGAGGTATGTACCACTTTGTTTTGCGGCGCACATGCTCACACATTTTAATCTTTTTTTTTTTTTTTTTTGAATCAGCCTGTTGTTAAATATACAGACCCAAACTATACAGTTGGTACTCGTGGTAAAGATGTTTAGAGGGGCAATATGATGTGAAATCAACTTTTTTGAGCTTTACATCATGTTATAATAATATTCAAAAACACACCTGGAGTGTTACTTTAATTCTTTCATGCATGTTTGAGGAATATTTTAATCTCCCATGGCAACCATTCTGGTTTGCAAAATGCCTAGTCTCATCTCAGCTCCTTCAGACTAGCCAGCAGTAATTAGCAAAGACCTGGTGGAACTGAGCATCAGCTGAGCTCATCATAGGAGCTACTTCTCAGAGCAGCACTGATAGAAAACGTTGTTAAAGGGTTAATAGAGAAACACTGTTGTGATGACTTCCTGAAGGCGGAGTGCCGGAAAGAGCAGGAGCTTCTTAAAGAGACATAGGCCCAATTTCAAGGTGTTAATTGGCAAAGTCAAATTTTGTGAAATGTCATTGCTATGAAATTATGCTGTATGTCTGGAAAGTATATAACACTGCCCCTTTGAAAAGCCTGAAAATGAATTCATTTCATTTGAGTACATTTATTCAGTGGGATATCATGTTAAGAAATATTTTTTGGCAAAGTTCCGCTTAGCAATCCCTTCAGAATAAATCTATCCGAGGCATTATTTTAATTTACACTTACTGTTTTTTAGTTATGTAAATAAATTAATCAGAGGTGCACCGATTTGCAGTTTTTTGGCCAATCTTTAAAAAGACTGATACCAAAATTTTTTTCAGCATTGTTGCTAAATATAGCAACACAGTGGTGTATTTCTTTTAGCCAATGGGCTGGATCAGGATACTTGCTTTGACTGGCCACCACAAATGGTGAGCACTCATCGATTGTTGTACACAAGCTTTGTTCTAATATTTGTTAAGAGGTAACAAGTGGGGTGTTGGAGTCGTGTGCGGTCCGGTGAGGTCACACTGATCCCATGTATGCTTTTACAACCTTTTCTTCTTTTGTGTGTCGTTTCGGGAACTGACGGTCTGACGGACAGTCTGACCGTGACATCTGCCACAATCCTCCTGAGCGTTGCGCTAAGATCGCAGGAGACTTAAAGAACTTCCTGCTGAACAAATGTACTCAAATTAAAGGTTAGATTTTTCAAAAATGCCCCACACCTTCCACGTTGCTACAGTAAAAGTTAAATTTATTAGATTGTTTTTTTGACACCTCCTCACCAAAGTACCAACACATAACTCTGTCTGTATATACTTGAAGAAAACTTTTTTCCTCATTATCTTCAGCTTTTTTTTTAGATTCTGCCTTTATTCCTACTGTTATGATTTTAATAGGCGAGTATCCCGCACATACTGTACTTGAATGTGTAAAAGAAAAAAAAAGCACCAAGAAGCTGTTAGTCTTATGAGCATAGCACAACGTGAACATTTTAAGAAAAAAAGACCAAAAAAAAAGGACTTGTAAGGCTGAAACAGCTGATGTATATCTGTACATAACATACAAGTAGAGTATGTATATTTTATCTCTCGATGTCATAAAGCAGCGACACTAGAGTCTCCTTCTGGTGGGGACAGTTAGCGCCTCTCTGCATGCCTGCTTCACTCCAGCGCTGGTTGTGGGTTTGTTTGTTTGTTTGTATTTTTTTTTTTAGATCAACAGTTGGGAGTTTTACCCGCAGAGTGAGAACTCTCTAATCAGCATGCCGACTACCAGCTCATCCTCAGAAAAAAACCCGTCTGTTCGTTACTACTGTTTGTTAAGGTTGAACAAGTACAGAGAGAGAGAGTGAAAACTGAGATTGTATTGTGAAATGCCATCAGTGCCACCAAGTGCCAGTGCCACACTGATCGGAAACATGTTTCCAGGCTCAGTGTCGCTGGCGCTGGTTGTTTTTGATTGTAGACTGGCAGAAACAAGTGCCCATATATTAATACAGGATATAACTTTGATAAATTTTTTTTTGTGTGCGTGTGTTTTTGTCGTGACCTGCTTTGGGTCCCATCCTATCTGAGCTTCCCACACATGATTTCTGCCGTCTGATTCTTCCTTTTCTTCTTGTTTCCTTTCACAGGAAAGGCCAAATAAACCCGCCTCTATGCTTTTATTATTTTTATTTTTATTTTTTTGTTTATCTTTACAGAAACGTTGGGTTTGGTTTTTGTAGTGTGCATGTGTGTTTTGGGGGCAGCGCGTCTTTACAAAGACGTGCTGCAGCTGCGACATGAAGTCCAAGGCTGTAAACGAACGTCGGTCAGAAAGCAGTTGGCCCCGTCTTCCTGCATGAGGAGCCTCAGATGAAACATTTGTCCCTCCATCTTTGGAAGCTGGTAGAATACACTGTACAGATCATTCGTTTCTTCATGCTGCATGTCAGCTGCTTCATCAGAACCTTCTAATCAACAGTGTATAGTGTTAGTAAAACAATCGATTAGACATTCGTCAGATTAGTACAAATGTTATAAAGGTTAAGAGAAATCTGTTCTTTTTTTTTTCTAAGGAAATACTTTTATGGGACATTTAACAAAACAAAAATTGCTTAATTTTGGGCGCTTTTTTTTTCTTCGCTTTGCACTGATACGTGCAATGTGTTTGGAGGATTTTTTTTTTTTTTTTTTGCCATATCTGGGAAGGGTGGCTGTGCAGTGATGCATAATGTTTTACTGTAAGTACGTCAGGCACTGGCGTTTCGTTGCCAAACTGCTGTACTGTATTTTCAGATAATTGTACGATGTATCACATGAACCGTTTCAGGTAAATAAAAAAAATTACTGTCATACATGAGGAATTTACTCATGTTTGTCCTGGTTACTTTGAAACTTTGCTTTCCGTTAATGAGGATTGACAAATTACAGCTTCACACAGAAAGACTCCAGGCTGGGATCTGAACCCAGCACAGCAGCAACGCAACCAGCTGATGTCAGAATCCTGAAATACACAGGTGGGGAGAGCAGCACTGCTTCAACATATTTACTCAAATAAAAAAGTAGCCATCCAGTAAAAAAGCATTCCTGAAAAGACTGCTTAAGTACTGAGTAACTGATGATGTCATCAGATGGAAAAACATGTCATGTTATGTGCAAGACTAAAATAAAAAGTAAATAAAAGACATACAAATAATTACAAAATGTCAAATTTAACCAGAATTTTTATCAATTGCTACCAGTATATATATATATATATATATATATATATATATATATATATATACACACACACACACATATATATATGTGTGTGTGTGTGTGTGTGTGTTAGAACAGGGTAAAGTACTTCCAGTGACAATAAATAGTGTTTACTTTGTTTTCTTCATTCCCAAATGGCTCAACAGGTTCAGCAAATAAAAAAATATTAGAACAAAGCTTGTGTACAAACAAGAGGCCTCACTTCTACATAAATTCTAAATTTGTGTCTGTGTCTGGTACATTTTTGGTCAAAACAAGCTTGGTTTTCATTCAGTGAAGTTAGTCACAGTGGGTTGAGCAGCCAGAAATTTTACTCAAACAAAAATCCAGCACAGTGGAAATATTCCCCAAAGTACTTTTTCCCACATAGTTGCTCAGATAAATGTAAGTAGTTATGCACCTCAGTTTAAATAATAGCATAATTAAGAAGAATTAATGAGAGCTAAGATTAACACTTTGGTTCTGATTCAGTCATTCAATTTGAACTGGTTACTTATTGAATCAATAGTTAAAGGAGCTGTTTCATCTGGCAAGCAACAACAAAGCAAGCTTCATGAATCAGGTCCTCATGCTAGCATGATGTCAGAACACAAATCTGTCTAGAACAGTAAAAAAAAGAAAAAAAAGAGCAAAAGGGTATTCTAAATTTAAAAAATTAATTTGACCAGTCTTTCATCCCATCATTCCCTCATTATCATATACATTCATGAATACATATACATTCATGAATACAAATGTATTCATGAATGCTCCCTGTGCTGCAATGCTAACTGCTTTGCTAACCTCGGTTGGATTGAGATCTCAAACTGACAAAAAGGAGAAAAAGTCTGAGCTGAATCGAGAACTCCTGCTAGGTTTTACTCCAGACAGATTTTAGCTTTCATGAGATCCAACACAAGAAACAAGACTGTTAAATGCATGCCATAATCTTTACAAGGTTTATTATACATTTATTAAAATATGTACAAAAATATAAACATTTCACTTATATGCTTGTTAAGGGAAACTTTACAATGTAATCTGCTGACCAGGGGTTTATTTTCCTCTTTTTCTTAGTACAGTCAAAACACAAAGCATGTTATGGCAAAACCCATAAAATACTTGAAATGAATAGTAGACAAAAAACAAAACAAACAAACAAAAAAAACAAGTATAAAAAGAAGCCAAAATATTAAAAACTGTCACAAAGTCCAGGCATATTCACGTCTTGGTGTGGCACTGTAGACATCAGGTCAGACTCAAAACAAATGAGAACATACACGTCTATCGGTCAACGACCTGAACACGCCTCTGAATAGAGCAGACTGCAGTTTAATAGTTAGCTTTTGTTTTGTACAGTACAAAAAAACGCTAACATATGATAATAATTTAGAGACTAAAGAGACAAGATGTCACTCGTTTTTTCTTTACATTTCTCGCTACAAACTGAAGGATCTGCTGATTTTCTGTGCGGTTGGATGCCGGGTGCTTTTATTAAACTGCTGCAGTGACTGGAACGGGTAAATAAAGCTCAAGTAGCCTCTGACTGAAGCTGATGACGTTGGCAGAACGAAAAGGGAAACGGGTTTGGCTTGAGCTCTGCATTAAGCAGAATCTCAGTAGAAGTGAGTAGCAGCTCTATAAAGAAAAGTACAGCAACAGAAACCTCAGAGTTTAAAGGTTACTCAGTGTTTTATTCTCAGCAAACTGCTTCAACCAGGGTCTTCTAAGAAATCAGCAGCTGCACCACCTCCAAAGTGCCACCAGGGGGCGGGGTGGGAGTTTAACTGCCTCAGCGGCTGAAGGCTTCTGGTGTGCTAACTGAGGGCCCCTCTCTGTGACCCTGGGGTCACTGCATCCCAAACCACT